AGGCACTGCTGAAGTCGTGACAATGGTAGTTATTTCACACAGAAGAGCCTGCTGTACATCATCTTATTAAAAGAACATGGAATTTAAAAGGATTTGGTGCTAGGATCAACATATCAGGGAGAACATACATTGTTTGTTTTTCTGAGTCTGTGTTACTTCACTTAGTATAACAGTTTCTAGATCCATCCATTTACCTGCAAGTTTTATTATTTCATCTTTCTTTACTGATGAATAGAACTCCATTGTGTAAACGTACCACATTTTTGTTAACAACTAGTCAGTTGAGGGGCATTTAGGTTGTTTCCATCTCTTAGCTATTGTGAAAAGAGCAGCAAAAACATGATTGTACAAGTGTCTCATATACCTTTGGGTATATGCCAAGGAGTGGTGTAACCGGGTCATATGGTAGGTTCATTTTTAGTTTTTTAAGGGCTCTCCACACTGTTTTCCATAGAGGCTGCACTATTTTGCAATCCCACCAGGAGTGAATGAGCGTTCCCCTTTCTCCACATCCTCACCAGCATTTGGTATCATTTGTTCTCTTGATCCTAGCCAGTCTGATTGGGGTAAGGTGAAACCTTAGGGTGGTTTTAATTTGCATTTCCCTAAATACTAAAGATGTTGAACCCTTTTTTTAGATGTTTCTTCATCATCTTTATTTCTTCAAAAGGGCAGAATTTTAACAGAATATTTTTTAACAAAATATTGAAAAGCTCACACAACCCCTTAAATGGGTGATTTTATGAAAACCTGAATTCTCAAAATTCAAGTTGATTAACTATGAATGGGCCAATCCAAAATACCTTTAGAAGTTGCCCAACCCAGTTCCTTCATTTCACAGATGAGGATACAGGGATCCACAAGGGAAACAATCACCATGGCAATGGGGCTATTCTTTGAACAATGTAATAAGCCAAACAATACAACAGGGTCTTGTTTTTGAGATTTGACAATCACTACAGCCCTATGAGGTCAATACTTTATTATCCTTATTTTGTATATGAGACTACTAATAGTATGGGGGTCTAAGTACCTTTCCAGGGTCCTATAACTTACAAGTAACAAGCTGGGTTCAAATAAAAAGTTCTCCCAGTTCTGGGGCCAAAGATCTGGATCTTAGTATGCTTAGAGACTTTGTGAAACTGAGTGACTGGACCCAATTCTTCCCAGCACCATGTCCAGTCCATGGTCCTACGCTCCATGCCCCTTCTGTCTATAGTTGTTCCTTGCCTGGACACAGAGAAAGGAGACATGAGAGGAGAGAGGAAAAGGAGAGGGAAGAGGGAAAGGAAAATGCATAGGAGGACTTTCCTCAGGAGGACTTCTTCAGTGCCTACCAAGCAATGCCTCCTTCCTGCCCTTCAGTCCCAAAGATCTACCTTTCCTCCATGTAAGTCATCTCAATTAGGGCTCCCATTCTTTGGAATTTCACGAACAATTGCAATCTAGAAGAAAGAATAGATGGACGATAGACAGATGATAGATGACAGATAGATCATTGGTAGATGTCAGATTATACACACACACATATATATATATATATATATATATATGCTTACATAGGTACCAGATCAATGACAGGTGTTGGATGGATGGATGAATGGATGGATACAGAGATAGCTCAATTATAGTTGATTGCTGGATGAAAAGATAATTGGTTAGGAACAGGCCCTTCCTGTACAGCCTCAGCTCTCTTTCCAGGCATAACTGAGAATCACTACAAGCCAGCCTTCCCCTCAGCCTCTCTGACATCAGCATGTCTGCTCTGGGTCCTCCCTGAGAAGTGCTACAAATGGATATGCAGGGAAAATCCTGATGAAGACTCAAACATGCTTCTGTAACTGCAGGTTAAAATACATACCCCCAAAGTTTCCTGTCATGCTTTATGTCCCTTCCCTGCCCCCAACTCACAGAACAGATCACTTTTTAAATGATGGCTTAGTTTATGCAAATATACCACAGTTCCCAAAGGAAGCATCTGGGTGCCTAGGTTACAAAAACACACACCATGGTAGTTTTTGAAAGCAGAGATCCAAATATCCTCTCTCCATGGAGTGCATCTGCATGTGAATGCTTAAATTCTGAAGGCCTTGGTAATTTTATTATTTCTCATGTCTTTGGGGAGGGATCTATAAATGATTAATCTAGAAAATGCAAAATGTGGGGATTAGGCTTTGAGGTGATAGGAAAGAAAGTCAGTGATCAGGTCAGGATTGAGCTGCAGTGGGTTGATGGGTTGATGGGTCCAGTAGGGGAGGAAGAAGGGATCAGGTTGAAATTAACATTGTAGGAAGAACTGGAGAAGCAGATCACTCATAGATGTGCCCTGGTTAAGAAGAGATAGTTTCAGTGCACCAGGACATGAGGGGACCACCAGCTCAGACACCTCTCCTTTATCCCTAGTTATCTTTTGCTCTGAGGCTGATAATATGTTTTGCCAGAATACACTCCTCCTTCATCCTTGGGTCTGTCTCAATCCTTCTCCTTCACCCTTATTTGGGTTGTGGAAGAGGAATTCATTGTAACTGTGATGAATATCCCACCTTCCCAATAAAGTTGGTGTTGCAGGAAGGGGTCTCTGGAATCTCATTCCCAGACAAGCATGTTTATGAATGTCGATGTGCCCAGGGCCTGAGTTTGCTCCTGCTAAGGTGGGACGGCCGTGGGTTTGTCCCAGTGAACAGTGGAAGGGAGAGGAGGGAAAGAAGGCAGGGAAGGTATGTCCATCGCTTACTCAGTTAAAAGTGTGCAAAACCTCATGGGTATGAAGCGCAGTGCTAGATGCAACCTCTGCCTTCCCTTCCTCCCAAACTAAACCTGCCTACAAGAAAGTAGCTTCGTGGCATTCATCTCTTACTACCTGACTGCAGAGGCGTTTGCACTTGAATCGTATTTCCAGTCTGAAAGGGGTCAATCCCACAGGAAAGAATTTGAGAACCCACTGCTCTGATGGAGCTGTTTCTGGCAGGCAGGTGGAGCTTCCCAGCAGCTCTGAACTGCTTCCCTCCGGTGAGCACCAACATCCCCTGTGTAGAGACCAGGAGATGAGGGAGCCCCAGGTGACTGAGAAGTCTAGAGGAAAAATTAAAAGAGGCTCCTGAGCTGGATTCCAGGTCTTCACAGACCTAAAAAAAGGTTTATTGGTGCATTTCTGTTACTACAATGAAATAGTTGTGGCAGGCTGGTTTATAGAGAAAATATTTATTTAGCTCTGTTTAGAAGGGTCTGCATCTGTTAGTGACTTTCTTACTGGCAAAGTCCCAAGGTGGCACATGACTTCACATGGTAAGAAACAGGAAGTACACAGGTGTGCCTGACCTGTCCTCCTTTTCTGATAAACTCACCAGGATCCAATCTCAAGCACCCCACCCTGATGGTCTATCGAATCCCAGCCACCTCCCCAAAGCCCCACCCTGCCTGTGGATTAAGTTGTTTTTCACCCCCTCAACCTCATGCTAAACCTTGGGGGACCCAGCCTAGCCACATCCAAACTGAAATGAGAAAGTGCAGCTCTGCCTGGTGGTGTCAGCATGGAGATAGGGGAAGGTGGCTTCGGATGATGGAAGATCATATGTCACAAAATGAAGTTCGTGAAACCCCAGTCTGCATGAAGCAGCACTCTCCTGTGTGCAGCTAAGCATTGTAAGAACAGGAGAAAACCCAAGCTCTGGCAATTTCTTAGCCTGTGCCTGAAACAAGCCGCTCCCCCTTCTCAGACTCCACTTTCCAATCTGTAAAAATGGGACTAATGTTCAGTGCACCATGCTATTCTGTGGCTTTGATTTGATGAGGGAAGGGTTGGAGCAGTGCCGGGCACAGACTCATACACATAAGCATTTACCTATAAAGCATTGCTCTTCTAATAAGCAAATGATATCACTTGTGGAGTACTCTCGGTATGCCGGATAATTATCCAGTGCAGCTCATACCTTCTCTCCTTAACCTCCTGAAAACCCTGTGACAGAAGTATTATTGTTCTCATTTTATAGGCAAGAAAACTAAAGTGCAGAGAAGTTAATAACTCACTTGGAATCACACAGCTAGAAAGCGATTGAGCTTGAAAATGAGATGCCACCCAATAAACTATAGCTTATTTGCTTTTAAAATGGTACCACTGTTTCCAGGTTTAAATATTAAAAGCAGTTGATTAGAGTGACATAATACTACCCAGGTGCAGTGCCAGTTGCCTGTAATGTAAGCACTCAGGAGGAGGAGGCAGGAGGCCTACAAGTTCACAATGTTAGCCTTGGTCACATAGTGAGTTCCTGTCTTAGAAAACAAAGACATAATAATTATCTCTCACTAGAAAAAAAAATACCAGCTTGTATCATTTGTTTTGGAGATGTGTATGTATGTGTGCATGGGGGCATGTGGGTGTGTACCCGTTCATGTGGGAGGAGGTGTGGGCACACAAGTATGTGTGCATACCTGTGGAGGCCAGAGGTGGACACTGGATGTCATTCTTGATGGCTCTCCACCTTATGTTTTAGCTAGGACCTCTCGTTGAATCTACAGTTAGCTGATTGTCCTAGACTGGCTGGCCAGCTCTCAAGCAAGCTCTCAAGATGCTCCTGTCCCATCCTCCCTGGTACACTGCTGTGCTTCTGACATGGGTACTAGGGACCTAGACTCAGGTCCTTATGCTTGGGTGGCAGGCACTTTATCCACTGAGCCATCTCCCTGGCCCCTGGAAGATTCCTTATTTATGCAGATTTCACCTGGCTCTGGCTAGATCATTAAACTTAGCACAGACACACAGTATCCTATCCCCCCACACCCCCCCATACCCCCACTGAGAGATGCAGAGGGACGCTGAGTACAGGAAGGGTGTGGGAGGATTCTGTTGACCTCACTCTGCTTTCTATCTTAGCACAGACACACAGTATCCTATCCCCCCACACACACCCCATACCCCCACTGAGAGATGCAGAGGGACACTGAGTACAGGAAGGGTGTGGGAGGATTCTGTTGACCTCACTCTGCTTTCTAACTGTTGCCAGTACTAGTCACCAAGTCTTGAGCAGCCATGACGATGGAGGTGCTCCCCAAGGTCCTGGAGGTAGATGAGAGGTCTCCTGAGTCCAAGGATCTGCTGCCCAGCCAGACAGCCAGCTCTCTGTGCATCAGCTCCAGAAGTGAGTCTGTCTGGACCACCACCCCAAGGAGCAACTGGGAAATCTACCATAAGCCCATCATCATCATGTCAGTGGGTGCAGCCATCCTGCTCTTTGGTGTGGCCATCACCTGTGTGGCCTACATCTTGGATGTGGAACCAAAGGTTCTTCCAGCCCTCAAGATGACTGGGCCTGCCTTCCTGTCCTTGGGACTCATGATGCTGGTGTGCGGGCTGGTGTGGGTGCCCATCATCAAGAAGAAGCAGAAACAGCGGCAGAAGTCCAGCTTCTTCCAGAGCCTCAAGTTTTTCCTCCTGAACCGCTGATGGCTGTTTGACCAGGAGAAGAACTGCAGACCGACATTCAGCATCCCATCTCCTCCATAGGGAGTCACCAAACTGATCCAGGCAAATGCTCCCCTTGACCCTGTATGAAGACTGAGCTCAGGGCTCCGCCCTTACACAGCCTGGCAGTGTTGCTGGCTGAGTCTCATCTGGTCTCTCAATTGCTATTGATGCTCCCCTGTACCCTCTTGCTCCCATCTCTCACTCCTGTATCTAGCCATCATTCATCCCCCTCTCTCTGCCAAGGGCAGTACATGCTGGGAAATTCTTTGGGAGGAAACTATGCCCCCAAACAGAACCTCATATTTATCTAGCATTGTGCCTAAGCTGGATTCCACATTTGCATCCTTCTGGAACCAAAACTGACCAATACAGAGCTTGTAAAGTAGGGGGGGAAGACTGACTTCTGACCCATTTGGGGTTGATAGCCTAGCTCCTTCAGCCCTGAGACACTGACTTGCATTTCAAGAGACAGGACAATCCACGTGCATCAAACATTCCAAAAACTGAACAGTGGAGGAAGCTGGGGAAAACCACTGTCCAGGGTGGAAATTTCCCCTACCATGGGCATGGCCTTGGAAGTTAGCCAGCTGAGGAAGTTCATTCCCAATCATATAGTATTTGCACCAGAGGCAATGGGGTAGGATACAGGGTGTCAGGTTTTCCCCTTGACCTGCCACTGCCCTTCTCACAAACTGCCTTCATCTTGGCAGTTAGCCAAGGATTGATACACCCTGTCCCAACTTCCTCTTTCCCCCTAACTCTGCCTCTACCCTTATTTCCAGAACAAAAAAGATGGAAAGCCACAGAAAGGTTATGTAAGGGCATTCTCTGCTTCATCTCAGTCAAGACCTAACCTGAGTTTGAATGGCACATCTGAATGCCCTGTAGGTTTTTAGAGACTGAGTTCTCTTTAGAAAACCTCAGCTCCTGTCATTCCTAGCCTTCCCCACCAAACAAGCAAGTATTTATTGAGTTCCCTGCTCTAGGGCTAAGCCAGACCCAGTCCCTGTTCTCATCTTACTTCCCAAAGTGAGATATATATAGCCAAGCCCATTGGCAATATCCCATGCTGAGTTCTTGGGACAGTTGTGGGAACATAGTTGTCTAACCCAAAGTCAGAGGACAGAGGGAATCCTGGAGACCAACATCATCCCTGTTGACACAAAGGGAAATTTGAGCTAGCAAAGAGGAAAAGGGGAAGGCATGCAAGGAGGCAGGAGCTTCCTTGAATAAGCAGAACAGAATTGGGATTCTGCATGCCCCCAGATGCTGTTCATCCCTTCCTGTTTCCCATATGCTTCCCCCAAGTGCCTTACATGCAGCTTCTGCTCAGGACACTGTGCGCCTACTGGGGTCTGTACAGCTTGGGAGAGTCTCAGAGGGCCCATCAAGTAGAGATAGCCCTTGAGGCAAGCACCCCTAAAACTTCCTATAGAAACCAAGAGGGCTTTAGGTGAAAGACCAGGAAAGGTGCCCGTAACAGATTTTCCCCAGCTGTCTCAGACTAGGCCAGAGACCAGAGGAGAGCATTTGATAATAGAGTAAGTGACCAGAGCTGTACTAGAATCATTCTTGACTCTGGCTGACTCCCTTCATCCCTCAACCTTCAGGTATCCCAAATCACCATGGCAACCTCCTTCCAACAGGCCTCCAGGTGTCTCAGTCCTTCACAGGGGTTCTATGCACAGGGTCAGAATCCATCCTTGTTCCTTCTGCATTACGGCAAATTCCATGGAGGCAGTATTTGTTTCATGAAGTCAACCCCTGACTCTCTAATTAAGGAGCCAGAGTTTGGGGAGCTTGTAGTCTTTCAGGCTTGCCTAGTATGGCCATATTCTTCATTAAGACCCATGCCACTGAGTCCAGATCCTCTACCCCACCCATCTCCTGTGCACAGGCAGATCGGGACCAATCCTAGGGTTGTGCAGTGCTGTGCCACTAATTGGAGTACTAGTGCCTCAAGTGACAGGACTTGCAGATCATTTCCTTTCTTCTGAGATGGAAAGTCAGCCCTGTGATAAAGCCCTCCAATTCCTCAGTAATTTCCTAAAAGGGAACACACAGATGAGCCCCTAGCCAGCTCACCCAGAATCCATGCACCTGTTCTCATCATCCCGAAAGCTTGTTGTCTGGGCACAGCTATGAGAAGAGGGCCTTTGAAGATGTCACTGCAATGTAGTCTTAGTAGAAGGAGGTTTGAGAACAACCATGACTCCAGAAAATCTCCAAGTCCTGGACATCTTTTGCAGTCTCTATTGGTACCTACTCCCATCCCCTGCTCTGCAAGCTAAGACATTAGCAGACAGAAATGAAGAAGATGATTTGAGGAGAGATCCCAAACATCACACACACACACACACACACACACACACACACACACACACACTGACTGGGTTCTCCCACATAAGGGTAAGCCAGGAAATGGGTAAGGCCGCCCAGACACAACACATCTTAGAGGGCTTTTGCCAAAGGCCATTGTCTTGTGGAAGACTGGGGTGAGGGCAGACCACATCTATAAGTGCAGTCAGGTTAGATGCCACATTTCTGTAACCCTGCTGGCGATGACTCCTTTCATCCCACAGATCAGAGGATAGGATCAGTATCCAAAGCTCTGTCTCACCAGACTGTATTACCTGCCCCTCCCATAGCTTTACTGTTTTGGAAACTATCATCTAATCTGAATCCCAAAGGAATCAATGTCATGTTGAATTGTATTCTATTTAACAGTATCTGCTGTTTTCTATTTAACAATGTTTAGTGTGTTTCTATCCTGTTCCACCAGGAGTTCCAAGACTGTGTCTACAAATTCTCCTCTCTTCTAAAATACCTTCCTGTTACCACATTTCTGCCCCCAACCCAGAAGGCTGCCAGGGACAAAGTGGGCTTCATGCATGGTTTCTCAGATGCATCATCACAGCCGGTAGCCCTACCCTAAGGAACTGGTGGTACAAAGGGATCAGCCCTTGACTCTTTCATTCCACAAGCCTTATAATGAGACCCAAAAGTGACCTGTAGAAAGAACCTTCCAGAATGAATTTGTGAGGAGGCAGGCAGGTCCCAGGTCTTGGAGAGAAGTTTCCAACACAATCAAAGTAGAAAATTGTCCATTTGGGTCCTACTTACATCCTCTACCCCAGAGGCCTGTCTGTGCTCAGGCCCTGGAAGGACAGCTCTTCCTGCCTGAGACTCACCTTCTAAAGATTCACAGGCAGCTCCAGAGACTCTGCCAACCCAAGTAGGAACTGTCACTGTGTAGTCAGGCTCCCCGGGTCTCTACAAGGGATCATGCTCAGTTCTCCCATGGTCTGTGGGTACGGAGAGGGGGGATTCCCAGATCTCTTCAGCCTAGGTCTCCTCCTCCAAGGAAAAGAAAGTTCACCAAAGGTCACCTCAGAACAAGATCATCTTCCACTTCCCTGTAGGGTCCTCTGGAAAAGCCACAAAAGTGACTGCAAAGAGGAAGGGGTATCATTGCCAATGGTCCTTCGAACGTGTACTAAGTTGGGCTTGTCTTCAATAAATGACAAAACGCCAGTAGAAACTATGGTCTTTTCCTGGGCTGCATGGGAAACAAGCGGCTGAATCACTCAGTCCCCACGCTCCTGGGCCCTTCTTTTCCCTGCTTCCTTCCTCACACACTTTCTCTGACTGACATTCAATTCCCCAAGGCCACACCAGAACTGGGATGAGATCTTGCAAACATGAGCTCTGACCTCAGAAAGCAATCAGGTTATTCCCCAGAGGAGAGAGGCAAGAAGATCATCAGTTAAGTCATAGTATGATCAGGATGGAGGGAAGCAAGCGGGGATGCTCAGAGGAGGGTACCCAAGTCAGCCTGGCTCCAAACCATTGCGCCATCCTCACAGAACTTCTCTTGGGTCCTCACCGGGTGCCCTTGCTCCAGTGCATGCTTCACTCAGCAGTGGTCCATCTGCAGCAACACCCTCCAACCCCCCACCCTTACCCCACCTCTCATCTAGTGCACCCCCACTCACCCTTCTCTTTTTACAGTTTGTACTTTTTTCCTTCTGAGCTGCTTGTATTTATCACTATTGCTTAAATTCAGTTTGCAAAGTAACCACTTACTTTGAGTGGCAGTTGCACACCTGGAAAAATGAGAGACTTTGGTGCTTGGCAGACCTGGATTCAAAACCTCATGCTACCAGCTACACCATATAATTTCCTATCTCAGACTTCAGTTATGTATGAGAATAACAATGGTCCCAATTAGGTACCCAAGGATTAAATAAGAGAAAATGCAGGTTGAATATATTCACATAGCAGTGATTTGGTCAGAAGATCTGTGCCCTCTCCCAAATTCATGTTGAAGTTTAATCTCCAAGGTGATCAGGAATTGTGGCCTCTGAAAGGTGATCAGCCTATGAGGATGGGGCTCTCATGAAGAGACTCCAGAAAATTCCCTCATTCTCTCTCTGCAAATTCAGCCAGCTGCCCTGGAAGAGGCTTGTCATAATACCTTCCATGCTGTCTTTGATCCCTGACTTCCAGCCTTTGAACTGTGAGAAGTGAGTCTCTGTCTTTTGTATGTCACCCAGTATGCTACTTTCTTATCTCAGGCTGAATGGACTCAGGCAGTAAAATTCAGTAAAGTACAGGTGCTGTGCTATGCTTGGCCCTGGAAAAGGGAATTCATGCTATAACCATAATCCAGGAGTTCATAAATCCTCAAGAATACTTTCAAATTTGAACATGAGACACCATAGATTCTTCCAGGTGGAAGCATAGACATCTGACTCTGAATCCAGAAATGCAACATCTGGGCCCCTGGGTCCTTGCCCGTAAATCATTGCAGTGACTGGAAATCCTCTCACACCTGTGTTGATTTGTATAGGGCACATTCCCACTCAGAATTTGGCCCAGCATCCATGTAAGAACCCCAAGCACATAATTCTGGGAAGACTAAGTGCTCCACTGGCCCTTCTTCACAGGGAAGAGAGAAGAAAGACCTCAACAAATGG